GATTGTTATATTTATGTATTTATTATAAATGTTAGAGATGCCAGAGAAAAGGCGTCTGCTTTTTTTCTGAGTGGGAGGAGACACCAGCGGAGCCAATAGTTTCTCTTTCCATAACGATATTCTCTCTTTTTGGAAAGATCACCAACGTGATGCAAAAGTTTACGTTATATGCAGTAGTTTTAATGTCTGCGGGTTTTCCAGAGACTGGCCTGCTACAAGGAGTTGCCCGTTTAAACCAGATTGTCGATGTGCGCGGGGCAGAAACTCGCCAATGTAACCCTGCTCACAAGTGCCACCTGGTGGTTGTTTTGGTCATTGCAACGTCACTGGGAGGGGGGAAAATAAAAGACGGGTGAATCACACGTGATTCTCGTGTGATTCACGCGTGAAAGGCGACAAAACGGAATGGGACCTACTGTAGACCTCATTTATGCGTGCAGTGTGTTTTGAGTAGTGATGTTTGAGGTGGCTCGGGAACAGTTGCCCGAGCCACCTCAACTGGTTCTTCAACGTGAAGCAACAGCTCTACCCCGAGCTCCTCCCCTGAGACCGAACTCTTCACCCCATCTCTATGGGAGTGCCCCACCACTCTGCAGAGGAAGCTCAATTCAACGGCTTGTACCCATGATCTCATTCTTTTGGTCATTACCCAAAACTCATGACCATAGGTGAGGGAGGGAACGAAGATAGACCGGCAAATCGAGAGCTTTGCCTTTCGGCTCATCTCCCTCTTCACCACAACGGTCCAATACAGCGACCGCATCACTGCGCACGCTGCACCGATCCGCCTGTCAATCTCACGCTCCATCCTTCCCTCACTCGTGAACAAGACCCCGAGATACTTTAACTCCTCCACTTGAGGAATGACCTCCCCACCTGGAGAGGACCAGGACCAGGAGAGGGCAAGGCGCCTTTATCCAGTCGAGCACCATGGCCTCAGATTTGGAGCTGATTCTCATCCCAGCCGCTTCAAACTCTGCTGCAAACAATCCCAGTGCATGCTGCAGGCCCTGGTTCGTCTACAGGACAACATTGTCCGCAAGCAGCAAAGATGAAACCCCGTCTCATCTCCAGTACCATGGAGTAGACTTTACCGGGGAGGCTGACCGCTAGTCATGCCCCATGATCTCTCCAAACAACCTCCAGCCCCAGGGGCAATATGACAAATCTGAATCAGAATTACTTTGTGAATTCATAATGTAAATGTTTTTGGTTTTTAAAAGAATATCAGTAGAACTTTACAACACTAGAGGATGGGCTGTCATAGTCAAGGGGTGGGGTGAGGGAGACTTAAGGATCGTCCAAAGGTGCCCTCTGAAGCGGAAGTGTTCTTCATTGAGCACCCTGCAGTGGGTATATTTTTTATGATCTTACCGTTATGTCCAGAGAGATTTCCGGGAGCCTCGGATGGAGATGGTCCATCACACGTGACTATTTTCATCGGAAAAATATGTAAGAGAAGATCAGACTTTTATGTTCTGACGTATAGTTATATCAGCTGTGCGATACAGTATCATGGGCCAGAGCGTAGATTTAAAGTAAAACTGGCCTCATTCCAAGGGATTTCTATAGAACTTTCTATATGGAGTTGCATTATACTTTATATCTGCAGACCAGTGTGTCAAGAGAGGCACCAAAAATTAACGGCCAAAATTAAATTTAAGAATTGGGAATTCAGAGATTATTTACAGTTTCTGTGCGGATGATCAGAGATAAATGATCAGGTGAAGGGTAGTAGCTGCCCCATCTGTGTGTTTCTGTACCCACCCACATACCCACCCGTACTTAAACATGTGGGTTTTAATGTTTTTTTTGTTTTTTTTTCAGTAAAGTTTGCGCATTTCTTTTTTTTTAAACTTTTTTTATAATAACATTACCTTCATCAGCAAGGTCATCCACTAATTGATTTGCAACTAGGTGTTGTTCCTCTTCATTTTCTTCTTCATCCTCCTCATCTACATCCTCCTGATCCGCCTCATCATCATCATCAACTGAAATATAGACAAATAATGTTATATAATCACTTTTCAGTTTGAACAAAATCACTACTGTAAATCCTCTAATACTGGCTCGTATTCAGTTACAGCCAATAACCAGCGGTTGGTTCCAATAAAGACCTGGTCTTCTATGTACTTGAGTTAATAAATGCCAGGGATTTTTTTTTAGAGGATTTACAGTAATAACTATTCGGTTCATTACACATCCAAAGACAAAAGTGTTGGCACCGTTGAACTTCTAATAAATGAATTATTTCTCCCAGGTTACTGCAATTATATCTTTCGGTATAGAGCTGTTCATTTCTTGTTGGGTATAAGAAAATTGACATAATTACATACAAAACTCAAAAAGGTCTGACCCAGAGTGTCCTGGGTCTGCTTTTAAACAACTTTGAAAGAAACGTGAGCTGTTATGCACTCCATTGGTGTAAACTAGTCTCATTTCATAAACAATTTTTCCCTTGCCCACAACTGTTACTGCCACAGTGGAGTTTAAACACGCATTACAGGCTTGATACAAATCTTACAATTTTTTTTAAAGGTGCCATTAATTTTGTGTGAAATAATCTTTTTTTTGCTGCTTTTCTAATACACACAAAAAATGAAAAGATCTACAATTTTGTCCAAAACATGCAATATTATAACATTAAAATTAGGGCCGGGACTTAATTAATGCCACAAAAATTTACGCATTTTAATTGTGTATGTGTTTTTGCACTGCGGAACCTTCCTCACTGGATGAGTTTCAGAAGGGCCGATTGTACTGGAGCACCAACTTGAGCTCCGTGCATGGCTCTGTGACTTTTTTGTTCAAAAAGTACATTATTACAAGCATAGACCAACTTCAGCTGTGTCTAAATCCGAGTGAGTTAAGACGGGAATGTGCGCTTTATATGGAGCGATGGACTCTGTGTGAGGAGGAGCGAACAAGCGACTCCTGTGTGAGCGGAGAAGGAAGAGGTGCAGAGAGACACAGGTGTGTGAGCTGCTATTGCTGATTTTTAGTCCAAATGCACACATCAAAAGCTTTAGCAAACAGCGCATGCCCAGCTTTAGTGCTCACTGCGAGTGCAGTGGATTTTGGGCATAAAAAGCATCTGTTGTAGTTAAAATGTGTGGAGGCAATGACAGATATTTTATTTGATGTTAAAGAAGTTATCCCCTATCCTCCACAATGAACACATGTTGCTTAAGCTTATGTATTCAGTCATTATTCAATCGCAAAAAAAAAATCCATGTGAAAAAAATGACTGTTAGTTCTGTTCTCAGGTCAAATGTTTATATGAGATTAAAAAAAAATCTAATTAGAGGCTTTGTAAATAATCGAGTCCCAGCCCTAATTAAGATATAGAATCCGAATACCTTCAATTTCATCAAGGGACTTTCCTTGCAGCTCATGTAGCTTTCCCTTTTCCAGTGCAAGCAGCAACTTTGAAATTTTTGCACTTTGAATGGTGGGCTCAGATAGCCGGTAGAATTGTCTATGCACTGATATGTCATGTCCCAAGAAATCAGCCATCTGATCAAGTTCATTGTTACTCAAGTTAAGGATTTGTGATGTTGTAGCCATTTCTTTGCGCAACTGAGTAGACCGTAAATAATCAGGCCTCTTGGCCCCACATTCATCAGCAAACCTTCTGAGGTTTTGATGACCTCTGTAGTACGTCAAACATTTTGGCACTGCAAACATGTATTCATTCTCATTTGGCACACCACATTCTGTTCTCTTCTCGATCATCAAATTGAGTGCATTCACCATTTCAGGTGTTAGTAACACCGCCACCTTTCTCCCCCGTTTCCCCTTCAGTTCAACTCGTTCAAAATAGCGACACAGCTTCTGCTCGTATTCTGATAGACCAATTTTTTCGTGGGTGTTTGAGCGATCTCTTTCGGTAAAATTTCTCAGTTTCATCTTTGAGACTTCGCCAACACGTCTTCGGTTGAACAAAACTGTTTTAGTTAGGGTTATTGTGGCAAGACTGGAATAGTTCTGTGCTGTTGCCTGCTCCTTTAATGCAGTGGTTGCTGATTCTGCATTTTTATCCAGATGCTTGTGGAGTTTTATGATGTCCTCTGTAAGTGGTAATTTGGTTGGTTTGTTGTATTTTAGATCACTGATGTTGCTCAAAGCACTGTGCGATATTAACTCTGACCACTTGGCCCGGTAAAGCGTTTGGAATGCCTTGGATGTTTTGGCAAGTTCCTTATCTTCCGCCATGAGAGCGTGGCAGTGAATGATGTCACTCAGTTTTAACAGGGAATGTCCAATTTTTAATGCAAGGCTTGGAGTTTGGTAAGTGTTTTGATTCTTGTCAAATCCAGCTGTCTCTTTAACAGCCTTTATCACGTGCATGAAATTTTGAGGTTTTATGGCATCCTCCAAGGTTTGGATTGGAGAGGTTTTGCGAAGGGTTAAAAGGAATCTTCCGAGCTGACGAACTTTCTGACGAATATAGTCATGCTTTGTGGGGTCATGTCCATGTTTGGTGTAAAGGGATTCAGCATAATTGAGAAGAGAAAAATCATTGCGAACTACACTTGCAATTCCATCATCGTGCATGCGACTTAACATCTTTGCCAACCCATCACCAATGAAGCTGGAGCATGTCGACTTGACCACTGAGGCTATACCAAGTACTCGTTTTCTGCCGCAGTGTTCAGTGTCTGTAGGTTTAGAGGTGCATCTTCTTATATGTCTCCAAAGCTCTGTTCTCAGAAACATTCCTTTGCAATGGATGCAGTACTCATATTTATTAATACAACCATTGCCCCTTCGTTTAACTTTTAGTGAACCGCTGCCAGTCTTCATTACATTGCAGTTGTGCATGAAATTTCCTTTGTTTCGAAGTTGCTCAAGATACTTTTTTCTCTGTTTGGAGCCTAAAGGAAAACTAAGAGCCTGTGCTATGTCAGCATCTTCATGTATATGTATTTTAAAGTGCCGAGCAAGTTTGTGGCAGGCCTTTTTACAAACAAAACAAAAATTATGCCGTCCTGCAGCAGCTAGAGTGGTTGTGTCATCTTCTCCTTTGGTAAGGTCGCTGTTGGTGTCACCCAAGTCCACGGGATGATACAGCCAAAATGCTTCCGCAACCACTGATTTAGAGTTTGCACTATTTGACGCTTCATCTTCGGTATCAGATTGAGAGGGAGGAACATAGTCTGGATCACCAATATTATCCGATACCTCCTCTTCACTGATATCAGATTCATCCTGTTCAAAGTATTAAAAAAAACATGAGATTAGATTATTATGAAGCGAGGCGGTTAAACATTTCCCTTGAATGCACCACTATGGTCAGCCAACCAATGACAAAAATAGGAGGGCGGTATTTTGGGAAACCAAGCTTGCACACTAGTCACAACTCATCACGGAACCCGTAGTCGTACCGTATCAATATATCTGGTATGAATATTAAGATATGGCATCTTTTCCATATCTTCAGCCCTAATGATTGTATAATTTGTTTTTACAAACCAGCAACAGTGCTTATGCCACACCTCAGTCACACAATCTGCGCCATAGAGAGTATCAGGTGTGAGAGAATCCTTAATTGTTTCATTGTGATTATTCAATTTTCATAATCTTGCTATGTATTTATTGTAATTGAATTTGTATTAATAGCACTAGCCTAACAGTAGCTTTTGTGTTTTCCGTAAGCAATCATCATTTGTATGTTTCCTGACATGAGTCCTCACACACCAAACTACGATCCTGTAAACCATGACTGAGTTCACACAAACACATGGTGTATACCTTTGACTGAAGGGCAGGGCCTCCTGCTGGTTCATCATTACTTTTTGTAGCCACGAGCTGAGACTGAGGCTGAGAGAGAGAACACAAGTAGTACTTAATCCATCTCCTGAGTCCACTTTCAAGAGGGTGGGATAGAAAAAGGAGACTACTGGAGCTTCATAAAAGCCACACACACACCAAACTACGACCCTCTAAACCATGAATACGTTTCCACAAATACACATTGAATATACCTTTGAATGAGGAGCGGGGCCTTCTTCTGGTTCAGCGTTTTTTGGAGCCACGAACTGAAAGTAAGAAAAGGAGAGTGAGTGAGAGAAACTATTTGTCAAACTATAATGCAAACACTAGTGGCCAATTGGAGCGATTATTGTTTCCACCGCAATTTTCAACAGATGTTTGAGTAAACTGTAGGCAACAGCTGATGCATTCAGACTTTTAGGGCTGTTTATGTAAATCACAGATGTGATACAACGTCAGAGAAGCAATCCTGTTTGTGAACTATGTTTTGCCTATCATAGAACTACTACTTACACGTATTATTTATTTAAAATATTCACTTAACCTACCAAAACCCCAGGCATGACAACATCACTCGTATACTCGTAGTTTTTTTCTACTTTAGGTGTGATTCACTCATAGCTTCCGTCGCGGCCTTGACTGGTTAAAGCTCAAATTAGCAACTGCTGCCAACTATAGTATTTTGTGCAGTGATCAAAATGACTGCTACGAACTGTAAAACTAACAGATCTACACTCAGCCTTCTCCGAAGTCCACGGTTAGAATGGACAGAGCATCGTTCAAAATCGTTCTGAAGATGGCTCGCAGCTCTGAAGCCGAAACATGTTAACAAGGTAAAACTTCTGAACTTGTCTTTCAAAAAGAACCAAAAACTAATAATCGTTCAAAATAGTTTCATAGTGATTATGCCATTTTCATAATCATGCAATTTAGTAATTGAATTTGTATTGATTGCATAGAATAGTAGTTTTTTGTTTTTCATTTGTATGTTTCCTGACATTTACTGGAGCTTCATAAAAGCCATGAGTCCTCACACACCAAACTACGATCCTGTAAACCATGACCGAGTTCACACAAACACATGGTGTATACCTTTGACTGAAGGGCAGGGCCTCCTGCTGGTTCGTCATTACTTTTTGTAGCCACGAGCTGAGAGAGCAAGAAAGAAATTAATGTGTACTGCAGTTCATGATGGCAGTCTTATGTCAGTGCTTATATTAGGTGTTCTTGTTTATGTAGAAACCTCTGACGTTTACAAAAAATATCCTTACCAAAGATCTGTGTCGTTTTTCTTTTCTTTCAAAGCAGTATAAATGCCATACAGTGGTGCAATCTGTTAAAAACATCAAAATATTGTTTCATTAGAAAGTTCTAAAACATTGAAAAGAAAGAAGGGAAACCCAGTCAAGGATTTTTGCTCATTTGAAAAAAGATGATTGTCCCACTCTTTGAGACAGTCTGACAGAGGTCTCCAACTAAATCTGCTTGGAGGTCGACAACATTTATGGTCCAACCCAGTCTAGATATTAGAATATATTTTTCAAGTATAGCAACCTAAGTGTTTTTTGATTAAATTCAAATTAAATTGAAAATCTAGACAATAGGGTGTGTTCATATGACATCACAACATTCTAAAAAGTTAAAAATTGAGGTGGAGGGCAGGTTCACATTCCGTGATGGGTAATAAACATGCAGAATTTTTTACTTGGTTTATGAGTAATATCTCTAATTGCATTTTGAAGAGCTGTTTGAAATGAAGCAAAAAAACGGCTCGCCTTGCGGAAAAAATAATTGTTGGGATAATTAATGAGCTCTAGATATGAATGTCCAGATTAGGTCAAGACCTGTCACAATAAATACTATATTGACTTATTCTATATACACAGGTAAGGACGATACATTTTTCAGGCCTGATAAAAATGATAAACACAAATGTTGCACTATTACAGGAGAATTAATTCAATCCACGGCACAACAACCAGCTGTCTGTGTACTGCAGGCATTGTGTAGTCGCCCTCAAGGCCTCAACACATTGATCGATTTCACAGTGTCAACTGTTTCCCATTTTGTCTTATTCCTGTACTTTTAACCTCGTTTTATTTATGTACTTGTCTTATGCACACTGGGGACTTTTGTAGATGTATTCTAATGTGGTTTTACTGCAAATGGGAAATAAATGAATCCGAACCAAAGGCTTACCTGAGAAAAAAAGTAAAGTTCTTCACAATAATTGAGATAAACACTGATTTTGAGGGCGACAGTAGCTCAGTTGGTAGAGCATTGGCCTTTGGGCCTGAAGGTCGTGGGTACGAGCCCACTGTAAGACCTACTTCACGACTCCCACTGATGTCTGCTGTCGTTGTGTCCTTGGGCAAGACACTTAACCCCACTTTGCCCAAAGCCCCCACTGAAAGATCTCAGCTCCTGTGGACTCACCACCTGCAGGAGGATCAGTGAGGGGCTGGTGCTCTGTGTACTGGGTGCAGCTCTGACTGCCACCCCCCCCGACCCAGAAATGGATTAAGGGGAAGAAAATGAATGGATGGACTGATTTTGACCCAAAACTCCCAGATCTAGCAAGCACTTTGTTTACACGTATAAAAGTGAAGCACATGTGTTTTGCAAGGCCCTTAAAAGAAGAAAGGCTTGCGTTAAGCATGTTACAAGACTTGTTTTTTTCCCCTCGCTGATAACCACTCGGGTTTAGAGTATTTTGATCACAATAACCGTGATAGTTAATTGTAATAAAACGGTCTACTTCTTATGTAACGCAATTGTTATATTCCTTTCCAAACAAGTTTTATTGAAGCCCAATTTTGGTGTCATGGATAATTGCATTATACAACAATTCAGACATGTTCAGATGATAATATAGATTATAGTGATATTTTTATACGCGATATATAGTCCTCAAAAATAATTTATTGTGACAGGCCTAATTCAGTCCACCACGGTCTTCAAAGTTGGAGTCCTGGTCTAACACACTGCAGTGATTACATTTCTTTCACTTTGTCAGACCAATAAATATCCCATAATATTTTATATACGGTACCTTTACACCTCAGCCCCCACCACTTGAGCGAGACGTATGGTCCGTGGCAAACTGAACATTTCTCAAAGGAGGTAATTTGTTCTTTTACCACGTGATGCGTCATACAATCTGAAGAAAATAAAAATGTGAAGTTACAATACCAGAAGTACATGAATGTTTTCCTGTCTATCAGTTCACAGAATCACAAGAACGTATTTTCTTACCATCATCTCTACCTTGCCTCTTGCCATGCTGCTGGGATTGAGCCATTTTTCCCTGCAGAAACATGATTATGACCCGTTAGACACAAAGGATACTAAACATGGAGCAGAGATCTACAAGCATAGTGGATCACTGGCATAGATGTGTAGTTAACCCATTAAGGCCTGATCTCCAGGCCCACCTCCAAAACCTGAAGTTTTTCTGAAATTCAACGTCTACAGAATTGATATCTCAGCCTCTGTTGCAGATAGAAACATAATTCCAAAAGAATTTGAGAGCTGACACTTGTGGCTGTCAATATGAATGCAGTGTATTATTATAAACCTTCAGTAGAATAAAAACAAAAACAACAAACAAACAAAAAACATACAACTTCCACACAGGAAAGGTAATAAAACAACCAATAATAATGTGAGACTTTCACATGTTTCTCAATACAATAAGTTACAAAGAGTTTGGCAATAAAGAGAGACACAAAGTGCATGGACATTTAAAAAAAAAAAATCCACTCTCAGTCCAAAAAGTCAAATAATGACTCACACAGGGCTCTTTCATAAGTAAGCAAAATAAACAAAACACGACTGTTTTAGTTTGTTCGGTTTGATTTGTTCACAAGATTTTATTTTGTGCACAAATAACATGCATTGTCAATGCAAGCGAAAATGTAGGTAACTGAGCTTTAATTCAGTGAGTTTTGGCTGCACTCAGGAGATTAGGGGGGGGAGACACGGGGGAGACAGGAAAGACCCTGCCACAATATGGGCATGGTCCTGATCGCGCGTGTATGATTCTGTCCGTGCGTCTATGGTTCGCGGTACATGACCACGTTACGGCTACCCGTTCGCTGAGCTGTCAAAGCGGCCACAGTTGCTCCTGGGGTCAGAACGGACCTTTTCTTACTGAAAGTAAGAAAAGGAGAGTGAGTGAGAAACTATTTGTCAAACTATAATGCAAACACTAGTGGCCAATCGGAGCGATTATTGTTTCCACCGTGTAGTGTCTGCTATTATAACTTCTACATATACAGCATGTATCTACAAAATGTGTTGGGAACATTTGGGTCAAAATGGTAGAAGCAGCTGACTAATGATCCGTTTCTCAGTCATGAGGCAGACATGTGAGCAGCACTAATGTTAGGACAATGTACATGGCTGTCCTTAATGTATGGTTTGCTTTTACTGGATCTTGTGACTGTGTCTTATGACTTCTTCAACTAAAATATAAGATCCTAGTCCGCTGTGTGTTAGGGGTCAGTCATGCCATCCTCATTCTCGGAGCTGACCCAGGCTGAAAGCGCTAAGCCTGAATTGGACTTGATGTATTCTGATTATGCCATTAATTTTATGTGTTACAGTGGTCACTTCTGCACTGAAGTGGTTGTATCAGATCAGAAACCAATTGGGAAAATAGTTTACTTTGGGCATAACTGTTTCTTAGTCTAATATTATTTGGGTGAAATTGTCCGGACCATGAACACAGTGGTCTCTAAAAGAAGTAAGTTTTGTATAATGATTAAAGTGAAGTCTACTGTGAGTGAGTGCTCACTGATGTAAGAAACATCACAGGGCATGTAGGTTGATGCCATAGAGAGTAATATTGGTTACTAGAGTATAAAGTACAAGAGTCACATTAAGACTGATTAGATGTTTAATCTGATCACAATGATCTGAAACAATTACTTTATGATAATAAACTGGTGTGAAGGTAACTATATGTTGAGAGGTAACTACTGTAACGACAGAGTGGGATAATTGTTACATCTGATGATGTTAGAGTGATTCATGTGGTGCTGGAGTAAATACACAACTACTACAGCTATTTTATGTTACTGAATTGAGAACAGCTACAACCAAACAACTACAGTGACTGGGACAACAGCGATGATTATGATTATCTGACGATAGAATCTATGGAGACTTTACTGATGAGCTGCTACCATTAGGAGAGTGACTTCAAAGGGAGTCACTGAAGGACTTTTACTTTTATTTTTCAGTATTATCACATTAGAACTTACAGATGACTGTATGTGATCTTACACAGAGGCCTCGTGTTTGGATTGATTATAGTATTTCTGGAGCATTTAAGGTGACAATGACTCGTGAGACTTTGTCATTGAAAATGACTTGTTTGATTTTGACTTTAGACTTTTGACAATTTGACTATGGGGAGACTATTTAATCATTTACAGTGTTTATTTAAAATGAGGAATTAGATTACACAAGTTATTTTTCTGAATAACAATATTGATAATACAAAATAGATACTTTGGGGTTTAGCATTTGTTATCAGTTAACACAGTTGAAACATAACACAGTTTATTATATTTAACTAAGCAAGGAGGTTTATCTGAGCATAGCTTTGGACTCAGGTGAAGTTTGTTATACATTAATTCAAATTTTGACAATAGATTAAGATTAAGATTGAGATTAATATGATCAATATGACTGATAAAGATTCATATTGATGTTATTTGCCAATTGCAGTATAATGACACTAATATGACAGTGGGACTGATGTAATTGATGCTTTGACAGTTACAGAAGGATAAGTTGAACACAGGTTACACTAGAATTGGTAAATACTTGACTTAGTTACTTGTATTGACTGGGACACATGGACTGACATAGTAGGATTAAACAGAGGTGTTGAATCCAAAGGGGGAATACCCTGTTATTAACCAATTGTAATACTTTTATCTTTCATGTATGTTTGTTTTATTATACTTTAATATATAACTTTTATTATACTTATTATATTTGTAATACTTTTCTTTTTAATACACTCTTTTCTTTTTCTTTTATGCTCATATGATTATGTTGATTTGGAGTTCCAGATACTGGTTGGGTTTTTCTATGCTTTCAAGAGGACATCATGGTGATGATTAATGGACACTGGACAGTTGGACATTGATGATAATCAGGGGTTTAAAGAGCTCTGGTGCAGAGACTGGATTCATCAGGAGGAAGTATCGTGTGGACTGAGATCAACAGAAGATTGAAGAATATTTTGTCTTAATAATATTGTGTGATCTTATATTCTTTTGTGTTTTTTTCTATTACAGGGGATGTGTATGTGTTTTTGCAGGTGATGTTCAGTGTTGGGGATAAAGGATTAAATATATTGATTAGATTGATAGTTTTAGAATACTTATTATACATTTAGAATACTGAAATTGAGTGAATGTAATTGGAACACAGTTACTTACTAAATTGTTGTTAAAGGAAGTGAACTCCCTCAGAGTTTAATTTAATTCTTAAATTCCTAGATTTAAACTTTAGGAATAGTTTAGTTTAATATGAAGTTGATTTAATTGAGCATATGAGTCAATGCTGAATATTTTTCATTGGATTAAATCCAATCCCCCCCACTGAATATCTTTAGTCATGTGAGCTTCAAGGCTGTGAGTGCGAAGTTTGTAGTCGTCAACGAGAACACATGAAGACAAATTAATACTGAGAATTTTTCCAATAAGCTAATTTGAGGTTGGTTTTTGGTTTTGTTCCTTCTCCAACACTATACTGGTTTGTGCGGGAAACCCCATCTTCTGCTGATGAGAAGATACAACAACCGCAATTTTCAACAGATGTTTGAGTAAACTGTAGGAATTATAAAAGCCATGAGTCCTCACACACCAAACTACGATCCTGTAAACCATGACTGAGTTCACACAAACACATGGTGTATACCTTTGACTGAAGGGCAGGGCCTCCTGCTGGTTCGTCATTACTTTTTGTAGCCACGAGCTGAGACTGAGGCTGAGAGAGAGAACACAAGTAGTACTTAATCCTAGGCCTGTCACAATAGTAAATTTTGCTGGACGATTAATTGTCTCAGAATTTACTGCGATAAGCGATAATATTGTCGTTATGAGATCATTTTCAACTAATACAATGATAATGATGCCGACACCTTTTAAATAAATAAACTTTTATTTTTAAAGACCACCACCGGAAGTGGCGGAAGTAGCAGGAGGGTTTTGATGCTAACAGAGCTAACAGGCTCTAGCTAAGCTAGCGGGGTTTTTGTATAAAGTTTTTTGCTAAGAATGCTGCTCTGCAGTGTATCTTTGTCCAGAGACCATCCAGAAACTTTAATGAGAACTTAAGGGATGACATAAGTTCACAACTACTGTGTCCCCCATTGTCAATCCTGGTTAAGTCCTGGTTTAGGTCCTGTTTTGGCTGTATTTTGTATTTTTGAGTAATTTCAGTCTGCTAGACCGCTAATGTTCCCATGACCACTTTGAGGCTCTCTGACCTGAGAGAGAGGGAGAGAACAAGACGGGAAAAACAAGCATGCAAATGGAATTTATTGCGGCCAGAAAAAATATTGAGCCAATTTTTATTATTGTGCGATTAATTGATTTATTGAATAACGCGACAGGCCTACTTAATCCATCTCCTGAGTCCACTTACAAGAGGGTGGAATAGAATAAGGAGACAACTGTCGCTTCATAAAAGCCACACACACCAAACTACGACCCTCTAAACCAGCAATAAGTTTCCACAAATACACATTGAATATACCTTTGAATGAAGAGCGGGGCCTTCTTCTGGTTCAGCGTTTTTTGGAGCCACGAATTTTGAATAAGGCACAGGGCCTGCTAGTTTTTCAGTGCTTTTTGGATTCACAAGCTGAGTGAGAAAGAGAAAGAGTGAAAGTGATGGTGAGACCATCTGAGAGAGGGCGGGAGAGAGTGATTGAAATTAATGTGTTCATGACCACTGTTCATGAAAATGTAGGTGTGTGTAATAACTCCCACCTATTTTTTTTTCCCTTTTGTTGTCATGCAAGGTTTCAGTCAATCAGTGTAAAATTTGACAAACCTCTTTTCTCCAAGGACAGTCACTTCCTCCGTAATCGTAAGTTATTTTCTCTCCCTGATTAATCTCACGAAGCGCAAAAAGAAAAAGATGCGGCTTGTCTTTCAGCACAATCAGTTTCATTTTGCAGTTGGGGTTATAGTGGTCATCATTAACCAGCCTCCCAAAGGTGCCATCGTCCTGTGTCGCATCAATACTTAAAAAGAGAAATTCAGTATATTAGAC